TGGGGCGCGGGGCACAGGAGCCGGGCGCCACCGAGGAGCTGGCAGGCCCGAGGGCGACCAATGCGAGCGCGGAGCGGGACCCCGCCAGCACCCCTGATTACGGAGAGAAGAAGCTACCCCAGGCGTTGATCATCGGGGTCAAGAAAGGAGGGACACGCGCGCTGCTCGAGGCTATCCGTGTCCACCCGGACGTGCGGGCAGTGGGTGTAGAGCCGCACTTCTTCGACAGGAACTACGAGAAGGGGCTGGAGTGGTACAGGTAGGAAGCTGCGGCGCGCGGGACGCGTGAGGGGTTCTGAGAGCCCATAGCCCGGGCAACCGGGCGAGGGCAGTGGGAACCGTGGCCGGGTTGTGCAGGGTCCAGGTGCGGAGGAGAGGGAAGGACTCTAGCTAAAATATCACTTTATTTTGGGGCGAGGGGAGGAGCAGGTGCCTCGGGACCTACCAGGCTCCAAAATCTGGGAATCCCCAGCTCTCCCGCCTGCCTACAGGGTGTTTCCCAGATCAGGTTGCAACAAGGCTTTGAGCTTCTGGGTTAGGAACATGCCCGGGAATAAGACAGAAGAGCTAAATTGACGACAGGGCTTTGAGATCCCTAGAAATCAATCAGATGCGCCCTCAAGAGCATTTGTGTGGCTGGAATCCCACTTCAGTGTTTTAAGATCAGAGCAAAAGGAACAGTTAAAAGATGTAGGTGCTTTGGCTTTCTAGTAAAGGTGGGGTATTGCCTACCTTTGTGACTTTCTGTCCCTCTTGGCTGAATGAACACTGGTCTGGTTTAGCACCAGGAGTCTAGGTTTCTAGAAGCCAGTTGATGCTCTAAAAGTGGCTGTGCCCTGCCTGCGCAGAGCCCTTTCTGATCTAAGCATCCTTGGAGACAGATTGGAGTTACTTCTGCGGGGAGTTATATACCTCGTTCTCATCATCAGATGCTGGTGGGAGGAAGGGAGCAGGAGAAAGTTAAGTGCAGGTCAAGGTAGCGAATAATCTACCTTTCCTGCCAGCCATGACATTAAAGCAGCATTGGTGCACATGCCCAAAAGACAGACCTCCCCTTTCGCGCGCGCACCCTCCCCCCTCCCTCTTCGTTTCTTTCTGGGAAACAGATCTGGATGGGTGACCCCATCTCGATCACATTTCAATAATTAATTGCAACTGTCAAACAGAAACACAGCCCTTGTCAGCGGAAGCGATGCTATCAGTTCCACAGAGCCAATAGGTAAAATTGGCCTATGATGGGGGGATGCTTTCCTGTCAGAGAGACATGCTTTCTGGGTTTAAATTGCAGCCTGGGAAAAGTTTTGCCTCTAACTTTGGGAGTATGTAGCAAGCATGTGTGCTGTGATTGATTTCCCCCACTTTCTTTTCTTTTTCTTTTCTTTTCTTTTTTTTTTTATTTGCCTCATGATTTAGGAGCTGGGGAGAAGAACACCCAGGCACAAGCATTCCAGCACATCACACTGAGACGGGGAATGTGTCTGTTAATGTCTTGTCTGTTTCAACAGCAAGAACTAATTGGGATATTTTAGGAGGCTTCAAACAGTCCCTTCCTATCAAAACATAAAACAGCAAGTGCCTAATTTAACTGGAAAAATCCGCATTTATAACATCACAAGCCATGGCTTCCAGTTTGTGATTGTAATTAAAAAGGTGTTAGTATGATTAATGCAACAACAGCAAAATAAAGACAGGGGAAGATGTCTGGGAAGGGTTCAGTCGTTTGCTGGTGAGCTACAGGCATGTCCTGGTTTTTTTCTGTTGGGGTGGCTTTAGCCACAGGAGGGTATCTGTGGGCTTCACCCCCTCTCGGTTCTAATTTTAAAGCCCTGCATCTTGTGGGAAGTGTCACATGCCCTTTAAGAGAGGCATAAAGATCAAGTTTGCAGCATGTGTGTGTTGGGTGACTTTGCTGCAGTACAGCTACAGAAAGGAGTTCTTTATTTGGACGATGCATAAAGTTGATGGGGGAAATGCTTGAACTAGGAAATCCCATCCTGGGACCTGGAGAGTTTTCTATATGAAGAGAAAGAGGAGGATGGATTTCTGAGGTTCTTTTACACTGTAGCTGGGAGGGAAGGATGCGTAACTACCTCACTGTCACAACGTGACTACTGAGGTATGTGGTAAAGCGATACTCCCAGCCTCCTGATCCCCACCAATACTTGTGGCATGTGTGACTTGGTGCTCGTATTTGGTAGCCCTTAGCAGAACTGCTAAACACACACAACATGTCTAAAGCAAGGCCCACTTGGTCCTAGGTAAGAGAACCATTTGATATCTCTTGTTCCTCAATCCCTGAGCCTTAACCTCTTGCCATAGAGGCCTGCCCCAGGCCGTATGGTGCCCATTGGAATTGAGGAGACTACTGTCTCTTAAGAGCAAGCTTCATGGAAGTGTGTGGCTATCTAACAAAGAGGGATTTGTTAGCCACTGAGACGTGGCTGATGGAAAGACTCCAGGAAGCTCCAGAGGCACACAGGGGCCCAGTGTGCTTCCCAGCCTCATTGGAGACAGCCATGCTTTGAGGACGTTTGTGAGACATCATTAGCCTTGCTTTATCATGCTTGCCCTAAGCCTCTCTCTCATGTAGAAAGAAGGGATGATACCCACATCTTAATGTAGAAACATGAATAGTGGCTTCAATTCAAACCAGTGGCAGAAACCCTTTGTCTTGGTTCCCTGAACAACTCTGGACTCTTCAAACGGTGGGATCTGAACTTCCCTGTGCCATGTCCGCTGTCTACAGTCAGACTTCACTGAAGAAGCACGGGTTAATTAAAAGCTTTAAAATTTCATTATTTAATTAACCATTTAGTCTTTTATTTATTGTTTTAAATGTGCTCCCCATTGCCCACTGTTTCGGCAAGAGGTCCCGGACTTTGTGCTTTGAGCAAGAAGAGCTGAGATGAAAACGGGGCCGCTGTCAAGGCGGCTGGCTTGGGCTCCCCTCCTGTCTAACAAATCAGCCTTAGCAGGTCCGTTTCTGTGGCGGCACTCCAGTTGTCCCTAAATCCGGGTTTTTGTTTTTTGTTTTTTTGCACCTATGCTGTGGATCTAATGGAATGTAAAAACGCATCGGAGATTAGAATACGTACATTCGATTTTCAGGGCGGCACCAGACTAATGGATTAGGATGTGTGTGTTCAGGCTGCGGAGAGGCTTAGCCTCCCTGCATGGTGGACTGACCCAACCAAATAGTTAATAAGCCTGGTGGATCAAGCCCTCCTCTTCTGCCTTCCTCTATCTCTCTCCAAAGGGGCAAAGCCGCATACAAATTCTATATGAGCTGCTACAGTGGTCCTGGCAGAGACCTTGAACCCTTCTAAGGGATGGGACTTTGGGACAGACCCCTGACTGCTACTGCAGAGCTCATCACACTGACAGAGGGCAAGGAGCACTTGCCTCTTCCGGGACTCACATGGGTAGTAACCGTAGCCTTCTGCTTTAGAAGCCATCCAAGGTGATGTTCTGTGGTCTTACGTCCTACTGGGAAAGTAGAGTAACCCCCAAACCCTCTGCATGTGGAAGGATGCCCAGCTTTTGCTCCCCAGTGGAGAGGGCCCAGTGGTTGGCAGCAGTGCTCACGCTGGTGTCTGGAGAGAATATTGAGGACAGGAGATGCTGGTATTTATGGAATGCCAGCCATAGTATCGGCTGGCACTCTATAGATGTGTTATTCATTGCAGCGTTGAGATTATGCTGTGAGCTAAACAGCAGTGGTTTAGTTTTATGACCACATTTCCTTTATTCCTGGAGGTGAGTGACTGGCTCAGGCTCCTAGGTTTGTTGGTTTCCCTGGCTGAGATTGAACCTGTGTCTGCCCAGTTACAGGTGGCTTTGTTTCTTTGATTCCGCCACCTTGGCATTCATTAATACTAAAAGAGGAACTTCCCTTCAGTTCTTCCTTTCAAAATGCTTAATAACTGGGGACTATACAATTGTTACTCTTTTAGGAGCGGAGGGTAAAGTGAAACGTGAGATGGGTGGAGCGCCCATTCTCCCCAAATCGTTAGTTTGTTAAGAAGGGGCAGGGAGGGGCAGCAAACAAGCAAACCAAACAGCGTGTAGTGAATGTTTGGCTTTGATGAGAGATGTAAGGAAAACTCAGCTAACTAAAGGCCCAGAGCTCCTCTGCTCAGTGTGTCAACTGCCACATGCAAATGACCGGTACAGCTGAGGTGGCCATACTGGAGCTTGCCAGAAGTATGAGATATACAGAATGAAAAGTTGCTCCATAGTAGTTTTCTATTTATGGCATATAGAAATCTTAGCATTCATATGGACGCAAGCAATGTACATCATTGAATTAATTCTGTGCTTTTCTGTTGTTGCTGTTGGCACTTCTAGGAGACCGATGCGTTGGTCCCCTGGGAGTGTTCCACCGCCGAGCTACAACCACAAGCCTCGATTTCAGGCCTTTTTCCATTTAAAAGTGGCTATTGGAGAATGTAAAATCACATCCATGAGGGCTTGAAGCTCTATTGGTTGGCCCTTGTGAAGTTTCGAGCTTTTATATGTTAAGCATGTCCAGACATCTTTGTTCACCTGGCTTCTGGTGTTGCAGGTCGTGGGGGGAGGTGCGTGCTGGGCTTCTGTGTTTCTAAGATGCCTTAGATGCCATTGTCACTACAGAGTCTTAAGAGATTCCTTTAACCTTAAGTTCATTGATATGTGAATGTGTTAGTATATGTGTGTGTGCCTGGACATGTGTATACGTGCGTGTGCATGCTCACACGTATGTATGTGTGCACTCAAGTGTGTTATTTGAGACGATCATGCGACGGAAATTATGTAAATAGAGTTAGAGGGTAAGATCCAGCCGAGGAGGTTCCAGCAGAAGGAAGAGTGAGTGCAAGGGTCCTGAGGTGGAATCGAAGCGTGTGTGACTTTGCCGCAGCATTCATTCATCACTCTGGATGCAATTGAGTTCACGCCAGGCATTGCAACGAACCAGTTGAGTGGTCTCCAGCGTCTAGCTTATATAACATCACTCAGGTTCAGTTGGTCTGACAATAATTTCTTCCTGGTAGGCTTGTTGGGGGGATAAATGAAAGAAGAAAAGTGGACATGCTTATTAACGAAGTGAGTGTCCCAGAGCGGAAGTCCTCATGAGGCTGAGGAGTTCTCATCCCCATTTCTGGAATCCTTTCGCTTTCTCCTGCCTTCACTTTATCGGGGATGTGATGATGTCGTCTCATTTGGATTGGTTTAGAAAGAGCCCAATAAGGAGCACTCTTTGCAGCCTGCATCTCCTTCATA